ATTTTTCCTATAAATCTGTAATAGGAAATCTAATTTCTTATAAAACACTAATTAAATAAACTATTTAATGAATGAGGGAAGGGTTTTAATAAATTATGTACCAAATTTTTTGTAAACTTAATAATATTAAACTTGTAATATTTTTCAAATCGATAGAAAACTTGGTTAAAGTTTTTTTTTTTTTAAGTTTCAATAGTGATCAGCGTAACTAACTAGCAGATAGCAAGATGGGATTTCTATCCCTATGAGCCAAATTCTTGAAAAATAATCAAAATTAAATTCTAGACTAAAATGCTTTTTTCTTTTATATATTCAAAGTTTAATTTGCTACTTGTAGGCTCCATAACTTCTTCAAATTTCTATTTGCTTCACGAAAAAATTGAACGAGATGTTTATTATTATTGCTGTGTATGTAGGGCGTTTATTATATTTAACAAATTTAAAAAACAATTTTAAGTGCGTTTTATTTAAGTTATCAACCATATATGTAAGGAGAGCAAAAACTTAGTTTGTCCCCGGTTGCTGTAGATAATGAAAGTTCATAAGCTGGTATTTTTGTTACTTTTTCATTTTATTAGTTTCATAAAATCACATGATTCATTGAAACTAGTTTGTATGTACGTAATTTGGATTTTTCGGAATAATAGATGCAAAAATAAATGTTGCACTAACAGTAATTTCTATATGAATAAAATAAAATAAAAATATTATTTTTATTATTTACCTTGTTTTTTGATATTTTTAAAACGTAAAGAAAATATTTTCGTTCTTTTTTCTTGTACACGCTAAAAATGGTTTTAAATTTTTTGCTAGACGTGACATTATTTTATTAATAATATTATTGATGCTATTTACTGCTGTAAAAATTACAATATATATATATATAAATATTTTTTTTCCTTAAATAGTAATTAAAGTAAATTTAAAAAAATAAATTTGTACACTGCCAAATTAAACGTTTTTTACAAAGTATCTGTTATGGGAATTGATTTTTCAAATAACTTTTTGAAGAGTTTTCAATTGCAATCACATATTATGTGATCTTAGAACCGAATAAAAAATGATTTTCACAATTCTAGTGATTTAATTTTTTTTTAAAAATTTCCTGGGCCACAAGTTATTTTTTTTCAAACTTTCTGGGTGTTCCGTAATGCTTTCAAATATATTTATTAAATTTTTACTAAAAACTAAGTGAAAAAAATATTCTTATTATGGATTCCAAGTTAATATTCATGTAAAAAAATATTCGAATTTTAAATAATTATTATAGAAAATACAAAAACGTACAAAATCTCAATCTAGTATAAAAACGGAATTAATTATTAATCAAAATAACAAACAATTCTTTTTATCTATGAAAGGTTGAGAAACCTGTGACAATTTTCATGAATTTATAAAAGTTTTCTTATTACCTACATCATTTATTATTATTAATAACTTAATTAACTTGCAATCGAAATTTCCACTTCTTTCCGTCTAGCTAGAGTACTCGTTTCTCTTCTGCGGCTCTGTGCTTATTGATAATACAAGTCGTTTCCTGATCAGTGATCACAACAAAGTTTATTACCATTTTGCAAAGGAGACCGTATAAATATTTTGAACTCATTATAAGTAGCTGAAGTGCGCCAAATTTAACCATTATTCTATTGACAAAAGAAGTTGCGATATCTCCGAGATAATTAAGTTTATCATTAATTTATCGCTAAATGAATTTTTTGATAAACAGAACTTTTTCGCCGCATAAGTAAAAGTTATGGGCAATCGAAGTTTCAAGAAACGGAGAGGAAGGTTAATTAATGTTGGTAATAGGATTCTCCAGGGCCGGATTTAAGTTTGGCGAGGCCCCAAGCTACTGAAAAAGATAGGGCCCTTATAAATTCAATTCTATTTATATACACATGAGGAAAACTGTCATTTTTATTGTTGAGTATTAACATTAAATTATTAAAAAAATTTCTTTACGTTACATTTTGCTTTGCTGCTCAAAATCCATAGACTTGGAAACATGAAATTATGATGGTGTGTACAAAGTATGCAAGGAGTTAGAAAGAAATACAATAAAATACAATTTGATTATTAGTTTTATTCTTTTTATGACCACTGTTGAAACACTAACTCAATTTTGAGTTTACAACTACCCATGCTTCACTACGTAGCCTTGTAATTTTGAACTCAATGCAGAAGACAACGGAACTTCTGGATCAGTACCCAGATGTATTGATTTGTTATGAGAACTTAGTGGGCTTTGTGACCCAGACAGATTTAGCATGCACCAGTCACCATTCTATACAGCTGGATTCGAACTCCCATTCTCATGAATACAAGTCCATAGTCCTCAACCAGGCTATTACAGCCAAATTATTCGTTTATTTTATAACAGTCATTGAACAGCCCACCCAATTTCGAGTTTCGACTACTAATGTTCAACTCCGTAGCCTTGTAATTTTGAACCCAATCCAGCAAACAAGAGAACTCCAGGATCAAATATTTGATGAAATTTTTCCCTTTGTGGAGGACGTTTTGATAGAACCAACCCGCATTTTAGTTACATGGAGAGGAAAACCACGAAAGCCTCCGTCGGTTAGTCTGACAGAAAGGGGGCTCTAACTCATGATCCGTCTACCACTGAGTATATTTTACGTCAGCACTGTGGTCGATGCAAGTCGGGTGTAGAATTCATATCGACCAGCAGCCAGCACTGGCATTCGAACTCGGTTCACCTCATTCGAAGGCAAATGCTCTATCCCTCGAGTTCATCTTCACTGAGTAATAAATTTGCGGGGGGAACCAATTTTATTGATTTGCTTAAATTTATTCATCTTTAAAATGTAAATGACAATCGTAATTTTTGTGTAAAAAAATGAGAATAGCCGTTTTTCCTCATATCTGCAATGATTAATGAAAAGCAACCACGAGGGTTAGTGAGCAAAGAGAACAATGGGCGGAGCTTTCTAGTTTTTTAAATAATTGTTAAATTATTAGTTTTACATGCACACTTTAAAAAAAAAAAAAAAACATTTTTCAGTATAAAGAAATAAAATAAAAAACTGTCATCAGCTGGAATAGAAGTCACGATCTCACAGTTTCGTGTTAGATTTCATAATCTTCAGCCCCAAATATGCATACCTGCCTTGCGAATTTTCTTTATAATTTTTTTTTAAAAATTAAATAAATTAAGTCATTTGAATACTTGATGTAAAACTTTTAGACTCGTGTTTTTTTCCCCTTCAATTTTGCGAAAAAATAATTTTTTTTAAAAAATTTGAGAAAAAATATCTGTTTGCATGCGACAATACAGTACCTTTTACGAAATGCGAATCATGGGACTGACCACACTGAGAAAAAAAAGTATGGTCAAAACTATTAGAATATAGTAAAATTTACGGTATTTATGGGAACACCAAAATACGGGATAGTTTTTTTCAATATTGATCTGGTTATGACTTCTCATGAAATTAACATAATAAAAATATAGTTTTTTGCCATGCTGTTCGGTAGTAAATGTGTTAAATTTTTTAATTTTATCATGATACCTTAGGAAAGTAGTTCCAAACTGTCTTCTATGGAACTTAATGGTTTTAGAGCGAATTAGTACTTTTTACAACCGGGGATGAATACTTTTATAACTTCTAGTTAGTTCTTTTATAATCTCTGATTATATTTTGATCCAACAATTAAATCATATCATATATAATCTTTCTGTTTCCTTTATTAAATTATTTGAAGTAAACTACCAATTAAATAGAAATGGCATTTTTTAAATGAAAATATATTTCTAAAAACAAAAAGTGTTTAATGTTGATCAAATTAGGAAAAAAATAAGCATTTATAAAATATTACATTAATATTTTTTACCGCACTTTTCAAATCAATATAAAATAACTAAATTCTTTTATAAAGAAAAATGCTTTCTAAATTATCATTAGCTAGAAATAAACTATAATTCGGCTTATCTTATTCATTTTCAGCTTTTGTATAGACACCAAAAAACAATTCGAATTTCCTTGTGCTCAACTAGATATAGCACAAGGATTGCAAATTTAACTATCGGCTATAAAACCTTATTTAATATTGTTAATGATAAAACAATGAAAACTCTTCATTCCTTTAATTAAATATTTTTAAAATAGTCTTTTTTTAGGTTATAACGTTCACAATTACCTTAATAAACTTTAATCGTAATATCGGGTTCCGTAGAGGGAAGCCTAAATAATAATTGGGAACAGCTGTCTTGGAGTATGGCATAATAATCACTAATTCGGTTCATTTTATTTTTTACTTTTTATTAAATGTGTGGTAATAAGAGCTATAATTTTAAAAATTTGAATTTTCGATAAACTGCTGCATTGTGAACAGAAAAATTACCAAATGGATGATTTAAATACCATATATTTTGGTTTTGTTACCACAATTGTTTTTTTTTCTTCTTCTTCTTTTTTGCGAGATGAGTGTCGTAATTTTTTCTCCGTGAGTTATTTTGTGTTCTAAAACTTTCGCACTATTTATTTAGACATATATACTAAAAATGGCCTTTAGCATTAAATGTCAAATCCAATCATGGAAATAGGGCTATTTTTTCCCACTAGGACTTCTACACTTATTTTTTTAAACAATACAATTAAACTAAGTATACCAAATTCATGTAGAAATAGTATAAGGAATAAGAAATTAATACCTTACTTTTTATTTACATAAAAAGTGTGTATAACCAACAATTATTTTATACACTTCGATTAGATTTTGAAAAGCATCCGAAAATGTAAAAAGAAAACAAATTATAATGGGCTTCATAGGGCCCCAGCTCCGAATAAAACTTTAAAAAAAGAAGAAAAAAAGTGGGATCTCGGGCCCCAAGCTACAGCTTATACGTAAATCCGGCCATGGGATTGTCTCCCCCCCCCCCTTTCCGTCGCTAGAAAGTGACGCGTCTGACATTTTTTTTTTTTTTCAGGAGTGACAAAATTTAACAATTTCTTTTTTCCCCAATGACTTGAAAAACACACGTTTAAAATTTTATTTATTACAACCAATCAAAAACATTCTATACATTTAATATGTTGAACATACAGTAAAAGTTTTGAATTAATAATAAGTATTAAATTTATAATTCAAACATTATATGTTACTTCATTTTGATTTCTCTTCTGTGATAATTAATAACAGAAAGTGAGTTTTGTATATAAAGTTTTGTATATAAATATTTGTAAAGAAAGTGAGTTTTGTATATGAGTTTTTATATATTTTGTTCATCAAAAAAGTTTAAAAAAAGGTTTAATACTCAATAATTTCATTCTGTTTTATACATAAAAAATGGGAACATAAAATTTCATAAATATACAGAATGGCCAAGCAAAATTTGCAGAATGGTAGAAATCCTAGGGAGGAAACAGAAGAAAAGAAAATACTGGTTGATTGTTACAAGAACAGTTTAGTAAAGCATATCAGGTCATCACAATTTAACACAAGAGTAACTTAGCCAAACAGTAGGTTACTCATCTACAGCAGGTTGTAACTCAAGTCTCACGATAACTGACAAAGAAATTACTAAACTGGTTGGGCAGAAGCTATAATAGCATCAATGAGATTTAGTCAGAGACAACTATTTTGCACAAGGAAGAATTGGGTCCTTACTTTAACTACATGCACAAAGCTAACCACTACTCACTGGTGGGAAAAAAATTATATATTGAAGGGAAATCAACAGATTATACAGTTTGTTAAGGGCTCGATAGAGAGCTACGGCTTGAGTGCCTCAGGCAAGACGGATTTATTTAGTGTGCAATGTCAATGTGAAAAATATTCAGGATCGTCAGAAAGTTCTTTGTAAAGCTTTGGACTCATTTTAAGGGATAATTTCTATTGCCAATGTTGAAGAGCGAGTCTTTATATTTTTCATAACTGTTTGAGAATTTCTAAAAGTCTTAGCTTGAATTTCTAAAGCAGTATAAAGCATAGAACTGTGGGAAGAAGTTTGAGGGCTCTGTTCACCTCATTGCCATAGCAATGAGCAGCTGAGGTAAGAAGATCATCTTCATGATCCAAGACACAATGAAGTGCTTAATAAATATTCTTCGATTCAAGGCACCTATTTATATCTTCAAAAGAAGAATCTTCCTTTTCTGATTTTTCTGTTGCTGCAGAGGATGAAACACTATTCAATCATAAGGTCTTTGGATTTAAAAAAGTGAGACTGATGATGCGTTTGCATTCTCATTTTAAGGGGTCATTTCTATTGCCAATGTTGAAGAGAGAGTCTTTATATTTTTCAAAACTGTTTGAGAATTTCTAAAGCAGTATAAAGCATAGAACAGTGGGAAAAGTTTGAGGGCTCTGTTCACCTCATTGCCATAGCAATCAACAGCTGAGGTAAGTATATACTAGTTTTACAGTATACTAGTTTTACAGATGGAAACATGTTTTTCTTTGAATTTATAGCTACTTGGCTTTTCTTAGTGGGGGCAGATATTCATATTATGATTTATTCATAAAAAACGATTAGAAGTTTTGCTTTGGAGTTTTTATATTTATTACAGTTTTGTCGCCAATGTCGATTATTTTCACGGAAAGGAAAAAATGAAGAATGTTTTTAAACTAGTGTAGTATTCTTACAATTTACAAAGAAGTTAGCAGTTGGTTTAAAATTATAGCAAAATGAATTGTTCACTTCTAATTTATTCACCATCTGCTAACATTTTGAATAATTTTTTGAGCTTTCAGTATTAGTGTAGCTTTTACACTGTGTAATATCACTTTCACATTCGTCAGAAAATTAGCTATGAATTTTGTTACCAGCTGATTTCCTTTTCTTCAGAGCAATGGTTGAGCAATTACAAATATATTAGATAACCTTAATTGAAGAATCATCTTTCAAACTATTAACATCAGCAGTAAAACAAGTAATATTATTTCAAGCAGTTTTCTGTTAGTGTTTCAGCAGTCAAGGTAATTATTCTGAATCATAGAAGGAAAACCATAATTAATTTAAAATAAATAATATTAATAACCATTATTTCGTAAATCTGCAAGAAACATAAGCTCAAGTATAGATGAGTAAAAAAAAGAGAATTCAGTTCAAAAAATTTAGCAAATCACAAACAGGTATATTTGATATTTTATATCCATAATAGTCAATTTTATTTATTGGTGTTTCTGATCAGATATTGAAGTTCATATAATGGCTAATATGTGCTTGCAGTTAATACGATGGCAGATATGTGCTTACAGCTTGCTTACTGCAACATTTACTAAATGTGTTTCTCTTTGTCTGGCACCTCATTACAGACCAATTCGGCAAGGGTGACCCTACCAATAGCAAATGCTATAGCCGACATAGCTCTATAAATCATTGGTGCTCACAAGCCTCTACACCTCGACAAGGTGGAAACATCTTTGTAGAGGAATTTTAATTATTATAATAAAATGTATGGCAAATTGAATATGTATGGCTAAGAATTTAATATGAAACATAAGACTTTTAATTGAAATTAAGGTTGTTATAATCTTTATAAATCAAAAATTGATTTAGGCTTTCGAATTCTTTTTTCTTTTAATTCTGGTTTCTCGGGTTGGACAGAAATTGCCGTTGCTGGTTTTAGATGTAAAATTACAGGTGCGTTACTTGTTTCTGTTGAAGTCGAAGCTGCATTTTTTGAATTATTTATGACTTTCTCATTTCTTGCATCAAGTATATGTTGGGGTTCTCTGATGGGCATATTTCTCTTGAAGCGAGAATCAACCAGCTCAGGAAGAATACAATCCATAAAAAAGTTTTCTAACTTTTTAACACCTTTAATCCAAAAGTTTTCATCTCTGCAAATTTTAATAATCAGGGAATCCGATTCAGACCAAAAGAACAAATCACACCATTGCCGTTGGGTGATGGCGAGTTGACCCTGTATTTGGTAAAAATACTTATGACTTTTTGGCAGATAGAGGGACCCAGTTTCATCTATCTTTAAACCAATATTATGGCTCTGACTAGCTTCAGACAGATTTCTGTATAGTCTGGCAGAATATGGACATTTTATTTCAACTAGCCCTTCTTTTCCGATCAGACCATCAGGGCTAGCACAAAGGAATGGTTTTTCTGCACAAACAAAAAGACCACAAGAATCAACTTTGTACCCTGTTTGTTTGCAGTAATCAAGAAGGGCCTCTTTTTCTTTTACTTTTCCATACTCTAGAGCTTTGGTTACAATTGATTCAGGATAGACTATCCTTTTAACCAATTTTCCACAAAGAGTGCTATTTTTTCGACCAATGACATCTTTAAAAAAGGAGGAGGAAATTCTTTTTGATCTTTCTTCTTTCCAAATTGGGCACTCTGACTGTTTTCTTGTTGCATTCTCTAATTCAGAAGAAGAACTAACTTTTAGAGAAAACAGAAACTCAGATTTTAATCTTGTAAGAGTTTCGTCAGAAACATCTGGTTTCTGACAATTATCGCCGTAATTTTTATCTCCACCCTTTGAAATATGGCCAGACATTCTTTTTTCCAATCTTCTAAGCTTTTCTATACAAAACAGCTTTCTTCGCCTAATCCTGTTCAGATGAAAATTTTGTCTTCGTCTTACAAACTCACGCACTGGAGTGGCTGGATTTTTTTTATTTAAGCATTTGTGAGCTGACATGAGCCATTTCTGAGCAGGTTCTTGATAGGCTAATGCAGCTATTTTAGCTCGTCTTGTAATTCCACCTGCTTTCGAATGGTCTACTCGCTTGCCCCCAGATGTTTTACAGAACTGACTCATGTAGTTTTCAGCAGAATTATTTGTAGTGTTCCAAATTAGGCTGTCCGCAGACTGTATTAACACTCGCTGCACAATTGCTTGTATGTCTGAAAGCATCCCAGTTTCCATCATTAATTTATAAACTGAGTCATCTTCTTGGCTATCTTTTCTACTGCAGAACTCCTCACAATTGTCATGTTTGCCAAAGACATGACTTGGCCCATTTTTCAATTCTGCACTAAGTTTGGCAATAGCTTCACTGCTGAAATTTTGATGACTGTGAACATTGTGCATTTTTATAGATACTCTGGCTCCAGTGACTAAACGAGTGAGCTTTTGTTTTAAGAGCTTGCGTGCCTGAATGCCACTGTTTCCATTGAATTTTGATGCATCTGTCTGAAGCTTAGTCAGAGCTCTTCGATACCTCCTTATGGCATGATTTGCACACTCTATTTTCTTAACTTTATTTCCATAGGAAACTTCCTCCCTTATTTTTGTCATTGTGTTGGAGTCCCCATCACCAATTAACTGAATGCAACGGATGCAGTGGATTGTTTCAAGATATTGTAATCCTTCCACAATTACATCACTCTCCATTGCTGTTGAAGCACCTGACCAGTTTCTCCAACAAAAATGTGGTTTTGCTTCAATTCTTCCTCTTTCAATGGCATTACAAATCAGGCAGACTTTATTTTTGACACCAATATATAAAATTTTTTGCGTATAATGGCCAATTATTACCGCAGCTCCACTTGCAGAATTATATCCATGGCCATAGGTTCTTTTGCACCAGCCTCCATCAACAACAACAGGAACACAGTGAAAGCCTTCGGCATCTATACTTTTTTTGCTTTCAGCGAGGATTCTTTCTTCTTGGACAGCCAAATTTAAATTTTCTTCAAGGCAAGCATCCAAGAGTTTGCTGGCCGTTTTCTCACAAGCAATGAACGTTGGATGGCTCATGTAATTTACGTTCATGGTGCTAAATTTTTCTTCCTCTTGGGAAAAACCACTACCTGTGGCTAATGCACCAAGAACGGCCAATTGATTAATATTGCCCAATTTACTGCCTTCCTCTTCTGTGAAAATTACGGCTTTCTTGCTGCAAAAACTGTTGCTGCAGACAAAGTGCAAGGATGCTTTCAGACCGGATTTAATAATCGATTTAAAAACCAATTTCCCTTGAAAATTACATAAATATGAATGCTCTTCAAGTGAACGAGCTTGTTTAATCACATATGCCAGATCACATATAAATCGTCCAGATGGGAGTGGATTGCCAGCAAAATTATCCTGACACTTTCTTTTACCAGAAGGTGTGGCAAATTCATCAGTAACCCTATAGAAAATAAACGGGAATCATAACATTAAAAAAAATTAATTTAGCTTTATTTATTAAATTACAATAAAACTGAGTTAGTAATTGGAAACTTTGATTTAATTTAAAGTAGCACAAGAAGAACTAATAATAGAAAAAGAGCAACATTCTTAAAGTTTAAAACTAACAAGAAAAAATCAAACTAATGATTTAAGAAATTTATTACAATGCGTGATATAAGAACTACTATGTAAAATATCAAGTATAATCATGAAGTAAATTTTTAATTACAAAATGTAAAATTTTTTTGTTAATTTAATGAATTATTTGAATTCTACACAGTGGGTTCTTTGGGTTCTGCCAGCAACATTATATTCTAAAGTTAAGTAACTAATAGAAGTTCTAACATTAAAATTTGTAACATAAAAATTCTTATTTCCCACTCTTATTATAAAGCTTAGACATGTAAAGCATTTTAAAGATTAATTTTTGATATAATCGTTTAAAAGTTGCAAGGAACATTTTAATGTGATTCCAGTTGACTTGTTGAAAGAAATATTTCTTGACACAATCAATAGGATCAAAAACTGAAATGTTGACGAGAATAGTGACCTTACATGTTTTCAAAATCAGGTTCAGGTAGATTTTTTGACAGCAAAGAATCAAAAACAGACACAGAAGTAGCATCAGAACTGAAAAGATAAAATATATCACATTAACAAATTTAGCAGTTATGACCACATAAGGGTTACCTAAAATATTACACGTATGCCCGAAAAGTAATGTATAGAAGACTCATTTTAATTCATTTTGAGTAATGAACATACATTGTCTGATTATGAGAATGCTAATTTTTAAATTTGATTTTAACATATTGTAATTGAAATTAATGATTATACAATTTTATAAATGAACATTCTATATTACGTAAAAGTTACATATGTGCTTAGACCTTGCTTTAAAATTAAAAATGCAATATAATAAATTATAACAACATACGTAATGCATACTTTTAATTTTTTATGCAAATTCAACCAATTCCACCACAAATTGAGTATATGAAGCCTTTAAAATATACTGTTAATTTTTTTTATTTTTGAAAATACTATACCTAACAATAGCAAAGTTAATATTTTAATAATTAATTTTTGTTAATTATCCTTAATTTAAAATGATTAAAATCCTCAAAATTAAATTAGTATAGTAATGTAGTGATTTTTTAAAGTAAAAAGTTCTGATTAACTTAATTACAACTAAAAAAACTTCTTCAAAAAAAAAAAAACTTCACAACTCACTTGGATATAACAGGTGTTAATTTTCCATTCAGTAACTTCTCTGGTGCACAGGAATTTGATAAACAATCACTAGTATTTCTTCCAAATCTATAAAAATTTAATTAATGAGAATAAGCAATGTTCAAAATATCAGTCGTTTTGAAGCATCATAATGGCTAATTTTAATTTAATACATTAACCTACATGATTGGTATTTGCAAGGATCTTACCTAGAAACTGGAGACTGCACAATTTCTCCTACTAATGATGATGATGATTCCAAAGAAATCTCATGGCAGACAGATCTGAGGGGAGAAAAAATGCTACTTTGTAATAGATTCATTCAAGAACTCTAGATTCATTTCAAAGATAAAACTCTACTTAATGATTTATAAAAATAAAAGAAATAAAAAAGTAATCAAGTGATTTTTCTTTAAATTTAGTAAATTCTGATCAATTTATACAAAATAATTCATAAAATACCATTATGGGTCTTTTGATGTATGAAATTTAAAGTTGCAGTTTTTATTTAAGAAAATAAATATTAATGAAATCAGCAATCTTAATGACAATGCTGTCATAGGGAGTTGGCATAATGAAGCAAGACAGTCTTTTTCAAAAGACCTAAATAGGGATGGTTATATGATGATAAAAAAATTCTTTTTAAAAAAAAATCATGAAAATTACAAATTGGAATTTTAAGCCTGAAAACAAGAGAGTTTGGAACAAGATTGTTCAGCAAGACAAGGCCCAAAATACACGGTAGCGCATCAAGAAAAATAGAGTCTTTTTAATAACTTTTTTTTAAAGTCCGTCATTAAACACACAAAAATAAAATTAATAATTTTAGCTTCAAATGCATAACTTAAGATAAAAATATAAATATAGACAGTGGGAAAATACCTAGATATGGGAGAAAAGGGAAGAGTTTCCTGATACAGTGAAGATTCCATAGAGACAGGATATCCATCAAAGCTGAAAAATAATCATTTTACGGAGAGAAAAAAAATCAATCAATTAAAGTATCTGAAATTAATTTAAATGTTTACAATTTTCATTTAGAGATAAACAAACTGCATTGTAAGAAATATGGTTTTTATAACTATAAAACAGATATTTTTGGTTTCAATTCATTTAAGGAAAACTCTTCAATTTAATTTACCATCTTGGGTAAATATTTTGAGTAAGTGTTAAAAACAATCTTCAAAGGCAAATAATTTTAATAAAATGTTTTCGACGGTCTATGAAGTTAATGCAACAAAATTTAAAGTAAATTTCTGGAATGATTTAATTAGTGGTGCTTTTGTTAAATTTAAAAAAAGTAAAGTTTTATTAATCAGAAAATTTTTTTTCAAAGGAAACCAAAATTTTAAATGATATGAAAACAGCTAGACTAAAAAAGAATTTTGTAGTTCTCACACAAAACTTAACCTTTGTCACTATTTTTTTAAGATTTACACTCATTTTATTCAACTAGGTCACTATCTAAAATTAATGTGAAACAAATAATAAAAAAATATGAAAAGTATTTGCAGAATTCTAATGTAAAGAGTGCTAATTTAAACCTCTTAGGCTTTGACTGAACTGCTTCATAATAAGAAAATATTCTAAGTAAAGTAGCACAAGCATCAATACTACAAAAATCAAAACATTATGTTCACATTAAAAATACATTTTGAAACATGAGAAGCTTGAAAAATGCAAAAATTATAATCACCTAATACTTGAATTTGGCTTAACAGCATCATTTAATTCAGGCAATAATCCAGCAGTGAGCATAAAACTTTGAAAGCACAAATCATTGAAATAAATTATATGTATGATTTACTTATAGATCAATAATTTTACAAAAACTAAGAAGTTAACAATAATAATTTTGAGTTCATTATTAGAATAAAGAAAACAAAAACAAAAAAAATTACATTTAACTTGTTATTAGTAGAATACACTTATTAAAATACATTAAAAACTTAAATCCTCGAGTCCCTAATTTTGTGAGTTTTTAAAGTTTTTGCAATTAAATAAACATAACACTATTTTAAACATAACAAAATTTTAAGAACTTCACAACCCTAAGAATATAGGAATAAATTCTGCAGTAAAAAAGTTTTTTTTTTCTACTGAAATAGATGTCCAAAAAAAAAAAAAGAAAGAAAAACATGTGATTTATATCATGTCAACCCTGGATAAAACTGGATTAGACTGAAGTTTGATTCGAAAACAGATAAATTAAAAAACTTTTTTGGCATTTTCTTAATCAGTTGAAATTTTAAAAAAAATCTGATAAAAAGTAATGTGCAAAATAATACAATTTTAGACTATGATTTAAAAAATTTATAAGAGATCATTCATAATTAGACAATTTTGTTTCTGATAAAAAATGATGTCCTACATTCAAAGCAATAATCATTATTTATAAACAGCTCGTTAAAAAAAAACACAAGTTTTTATATTAAATTTTATTAATATAAAACAAATGCTTTCAAACCTAGTAGACGAAGAGGCTGTATTTAGCAAAACAGTTGAATCACTTGAAATCAAGAAATCATTAGGCCTATAAAATAAAATATATACATGTATGAGTTTTACGGCGATAATAAATATTAACTTTAAATATATGACTATATGAATTTTTCCTTGCAATTCAAGTTATATAAATTATAATTTGATGTAATTAAATTTAATCTGTCTTAAATAAATAGTTTTTAATAATCTTAGTTGGATAAATAACTCAAATAAGTATGCAGATTAAATAATTCTTACATCTCTGAAGTTTCAACACAATTAACATCAGAAAAACGATCCTTCAACACCTTTGTTTTTCTTTTTCTAGATTTACGACGATTTTTATTTGGATGATCCTTCATGTTTATTTCGATATTTAAAAGCAAAGAAGCAAATTTAAATGGAAATTGCGCGCTATCAATGTAAACATTAAAATTGCCGATGCTAGTCGCTAAATCCTGAATAGCTCTTTTTCTCGCGCGTTCGTAAACAACGAGAAAAACGAAATATTCTGATTTTCGATGTTGGAAAAATTAAAACGTAGTGACTGTTCTCCCGAACAGTTACACGAATTAAATACTGATTAAAATGTCTTAGAACTGCTTTTGGAATAAAGCCAACAATCTGTATTAATACCTAAAACAAAAAGAATCTACAATTAATGAGAATATAAATATGTATTTTATGCTTTCTTTTGCAAACTGCTCTCGCANCAGAGGTGTCAAACTCAATTTTGCAGAGGGCCATATATTAAATTTAGAATGTGTAGGCGGGCCAGATTCAAATAAAAAAAATGTACTGAACTATTATAACATTTTATTTATCTAATTATATGGTATATAATATACGGTCAGTACCGTCTTTACGCATGGGCACACCCGGGCAGTGCCCAGGGGCCCCAGGCACTCAGGGGGCCCTTAAGAATCTTACTTTTTAAAAAAAATTTACTAAGAATAAACAACTTTGCATTATATAATTTTTTAAATAAATCCCAAATAGCAAAATATGGTTTATTTTCACTCAGCTAAAACCTTTTAATGTAAACCTAAAAAGGCTGGTTATGCGTCTTTCACGACGTGTAAATCTTCTAACCTTAAAACGAGATCTGTGGCAATCTGCTCTATTTTACGCACATTACCCTAGTACAAAACCTTGGAAAACAACCTTCTATATAAAAACCTTAAATCGAGGTTGACTTAGAGTTTTCAAGCGTGAAAAAAATCCTTAATAAAGCTAGTCTGAAGGTGAAAATACTCTTAAACCTAGGTAATTATAAGGTTTCTTTTCACAAAGTCTTGCATGCTCATCTAAAATCCACCTTGTCATGAAATTTTAATGAGCAACGCAGTTTGATCCTATCGTTAGTGTAACGTCAGCTAAACCGTCATTATGGACCTAAGTGACCATTTTACTTAAGTGACAACACTTTTTTTAAAACAAAGTCTTAAAAAATAATTTTTAATCCTTTTAGGATGAAAGGTTTAAAAACTGCAATATTTTTGCCTTATTAAAAAAAGGTTTTTAATACAAACAATAAAAAGAAAATTCTGACAGAAGGTAGCCGTAAGGTTGACGCTTTCTAGGATATATACTAGTGTAAAAAGTGGGCATTTTTTTTTCTAATAATAGTGATTAATTACCATGCAAATACCAATAGTTTGAATAGTTTATCACTAAGAAAAATAAAAAGTCAGTCGAAATTTATTTTTCTTCGTTAAAATGAAGTTTTTAGGTGCTCAACTCCCTAAGTGATAATGTCTCTGAATATGCTTGAGATCACCGAAGTCAAGCATCACTGGCTACGGTCAGTGTGAGGGTGGGTAACCACTTGGATCAGTCTGCGTAGGGACAGAGGATGTGCAGTACGGGTCCTCGTTAAACTGTTTTACCGTAAAGTGCTCGACATCGCGTGCAGGTCATTAGGCTACCGAAGCGGGATTGCCACCCCCTCATCAGAGGATCAAAATTGTGATGACATGTCTTCGGATCATCATCAGCGATGTTTCCCAGACCGTTGCCAATAGCCCGTTGTGCAGCTCCTGTGTGACGTAAATGAACTACAACAACAACTAAATATGCTTGACAACCAACTCTGTTTAGTATTTATAGTTAATTAAAGTAATAATTGTCAGTGTTTCGAATCATACGACAACAAATTTTAAACTGGTTATGTCTGATGTGCATTGAAAGATGTTTAAACATTAATATTATAATAACTGACTTTTTAATAATTTGACGAAACAATTCATACCTTTTGAATTTTTTTAATTGCTATACCCTAGCTGCAATGGCTCAGGGGATAGAGCGTTTGCCTTCCAATGAGATGAGACGGCTGGTCGATACGAATCTGCATCCGGCTTGCACAGACCACAGTGCTGACGTGAAATATCCTCAGTGGCAGACGGATCATGGGTTAGAGTCCCTTTGCCGTCAGACTAACCGTGGGAGGCTCTCGTCATCTTCATCTCCATGTAATGTAAATGCGGGTTAGTTCCACTGAAAAAGTACTCCACGAATGCAAAATTTCTCCCGATACTTGATACAAGAGCTCCTTTGTTTTCTATATTGAGTTCAAAAGTAAAAGGCTACAGAGTTGAACATTAGAAATCGTAAACCCAAAAATTGGGTCGGCTGTTCAATGACGGTTATAATAAAAAATGAAAAAATTGCTTAACCCTTGGCCGGGTAGCCTGCTTGGTAGGGCACTAGGCCCATGTATCGTACGGGTATGTTCGTGGGTTCGATCTCCGCAGGCCGAAAATTCCCCATGTCGTAAATGGTGACTGATGCACGTTAAGTCTGTCGAGTCACAAACTCATCCATGTTCCCATAACAAGTCATACCTCTCGGGGAACTGATCCAGGAGTTTCCTTGTCTTCTGTATTGGTTCAAAATTACAAGGCTGCGGAATTGAACATTGGTAAACCCAAAAATTGGATTGGCTTTTCAGCGATGGTTACAAAATAAATGCATTTTAATTTACTTATTTTAATTAGCTTCTTCGTTTTGAAAATTACTTACTATTTGAGGATTTGCTAGCATTTCATTTTTTTTAAGAAAAATTATGCCTAGTTTAAAAATGCTTTATTTTATGTGCATTGAGTTTTTGGGGCTCTAAAAATGTTTTTAACTTTGTTAAAATTATTGCATATCTTAAAAATATTTAATTTTCTGCATGTGAAGTTTTTTAGTTCTATTTTAAACAGTATGAAATGTAATAGGGGCCCAAAACATTTCAGTGCCCGGGGGCCCTGCTTGCTATTAAGACGGCCCTGTATACGGTTGTTAAAAATCATATCAAAGTTATAAAAGATGATAATTATTTTGAGCTCGAGAATCCAGATACCTGACTTCTCTTGTTCTCAGAATGCGTGCTGCATGCTTTCTTAATTCCGGGTAGTTATCCAAACTCTT